ACACATCTATCCTAAAAGCCTTTTCCTTCTTCTACTTTTCTGTTCTCTCCCCTTGGAAGCCTGAGGCATCGATGGAGGGGACGGAGTGCTTCTCTTCTCTCCCTGGGCATCTTCCCCACGGAAGAAGGAGAGTATGTGCCAAGAGTGAAGCTTGGGAGGCTGAATGCTGAGAAACAGATCTGAGAGACATGGCTCCTGAAAGTTTCCTATACAAGACGAGGAGGGGGAGGAGGGGGCACTTCTCACTACATCAGAGGGCCAGGGCTGTCTTACTCACCACTATCTCCAGCATCTGGAGGAGTTGTGGCCACAGGGGGCACTGTCCGAACACCTGCTGGCTTTCCTCAATAAAATCTTACCTCTATGACTGGTGGTAGAAAGAGACCACCTGCCTGGAGGGGGCCCTAGTCCTTGGATTCTCATTTCTATTCCCCAAGATACATTCTCTTTCGGGATTGCTCACCGATCACCACCCCTACCGAGTACAGGGAAACTAGCAGCCCCTTCCCAGGGGACAACGCTCCTTGTACTGACAACCTCGAAGAACTTGGGTGTGATTTTATTAAGGGCACCAGTAGGTTCCCTCACAGGTGCCCAAAGATCTGCTTCATGTCATCGCTGAATGAGCCTCCATGCATGATTCAGGGCAATCATTCATGGAGCGTCCCCACCTACTGGTTATTCTAAGTTCAAAGGAGCAGCCTTTGCTAGCCAACCAAGTAATTCTCTGAGCAAAGATAATTCTAGAAACTAGTTATATGTAACATATGACTCCTACCACATAATGGATTCTAAACATTCACCTATAGTGAAATGGACGAAGTCAAGTGTGAAGTGTAACATATGAACTGATTTTCCATTAAAGGACTCAGGCATAACTGCATGGAAAACAGATTTATGCCTGGGAAGAGGCATCCCTCCTAGAAGGTAAAATCAAGTGCACTCTGACAAGAAAGGGTTTTACGCGTCAAACCTCCAGAGCCAAAATAAAGGCCAAATCACTAATTTCACACTTCAAGTTTATGAAGGGGAAAAAAATACTAGAGGTAGTCTCTGAAAATAGTTATCTTTCCTCTCTCCTTCCTTAATGGAATTGTATTAAGCATCCTATCAATCATGCTAGGCATGCTATATTACAAACATGAGAGCTGACATTAACACAACCCACCTGTGGAAGGAGATGCCAACATAGGCCGACAGGGTCATACCGTTTGTTACAGCCCACAGGCCAGGAGCAAGGACTCTGGTGTCAAGGTCTGTATTCAAATCCTGGTGCTGGGCTGTGTGGCATCGGTGGGGTAGTGGTGAGCAGAGGTGCCTTCCAAGTGTTGTCACTTACTGTGTGACCTTTGGCAAGGTTATTTTTCTTTGCCTTTGTCTGCTCATCTTTAAAATGGGGATAATGAACGATCCAAATGTCCATTACCAGGTGAATACATAACAAAAATGTGGTCTGTCCATACACTGGAATACTACTCATCAATAAATGAAACAGGCTAATGACATGTACAACAACCTGGATAAACTCAAAATCATTTACCGTAAGTGAAAAAAGCCAGAAAAGCCAGAAAAGCCAAAAAAGCCACAAAAGCATACGTACATACATTTCAACTGACATAAAGCTCCACAAAGTGCAAACCACTGCATAGTGACAACAAAGAGACTCAGTAGTTGCCTAGAGACGGGGGCAGAGGAAGGACTGACTGGAAAAGGCCTGAGAAATTTTGGAGGGGAGATGGAAAGTTCTATATATTGACTGTGGTGGCGGTTCCACCAGGCATATACATCTGTCAAAACTCTAATGCTGAGCTTTAAATGGATTCCGTTTATTGTGTGTAAATTCGACCTCAATAAAGTTGATTTTTAAAAACTTTTCCATAGGTTTGTTTTGAGAACTAAATGAGTTTGGTGATGCGCGGAGATGGCAGTGATGCTGGTGTGCGTGGGGTATGAGGCAGAGTGGTCTCTTGTGAGTCAAGACCAGAGCTCTCCTCTGAGTCCTGCTATTTTGTATAATGATCTCGAAGCTTCGATGCTGTTAACATGGCCAATGAGGGGCTCGCACAAGATGGCTGACAGAGTTGCCGCCACAGCAGCCGGCACAACCTCTGCTAACACACGTCTAGAATGTGTGTACACTCTGGCATTCAGAAGGTTTTGCTGGAACATTGAACAGTTACTCCTTGAAATGCAGCATTTTCACACATTGAAAAAAATGGAAAAAGGAGGATTTCTGAAGTCTGTTGAAGGGAGTTAGAAAGAGGTTCCAGGTAGGGTGGGGAGAGGCCTGGAGAGGATACCAGCTGAGCAAACCTTCTGGAGACCAGGAATTTAATGAGCACCTCAGAGTGGGCAGCATCATCATTTCCCTGAACCTAACAGCTTTGTCAATGTCCAGCAGGGCCCCTGCCTCCTTGAGTCCTTTGGCACACCCTCCTGGATGGTCACCCTGCTGTCCTAGGCAACCGATGGCTGGAGCAACAGTCTGTGAGGACAGGCAGATCAAAAGTGTAGCCAGCAGCCAGCAATCACTGAGCCACCACAGTTCAGCAGTGGCACGAGGCATCCCGGGGACATGTGCAGAGAAATAGACTTGGGCTCTGAGTTCAGAGGGTCACTGGGAATTCTTAGTGGGTGGACGGGTTCAGCGGCTACAAGGAGTTTAGTGAGCAGAGCTAAGGAGGAAGATCTGGTCAAACAAAATGAGCTTGGCAATAAGAAAGAATAGGAAAAGCAAAGACAAATGCTGAAGAATGATGAAGCTGTGCTCACGAGCTCTTACTAAATCTCAGAGTGGAGGCTCAACTCCTGACCTCCAGTGACTGACTACCTTTCTACCCGAAAACCCCTTTGGGATGAGATGAGGCAGAAGTACTTTTTCATGATTCCTGTCCTCTCCTGCCCTCAATCCTAACTTTAGAGGCACTACAGCAGGCTTGACAAGCTCCGGCATGAAGAATATTCATCCAGGGAGCGTATTTAAATTAATCCAGATCTCTGGGCCCCAACTCCAGCTTCTGATGGCTGGTGGCTGGGAGTCCGTGTTTCTACCACCATCCCAGCAGTTCTCATGTTGCACAAGCCCCCAGTCTTGTGAGGCTGGTGGCTGGGAGTCCGTGTTTCTACCACCATCCCAGCAGTTCTCATGTTGCACAAGCCCCCAGTCTTGTGAGGCAGCTAACGGCACGGGTCACAATCTAAGCTTTCTAGATTTAATGCTCCCCTTCACTTTGTGGTCATATGCAAAGGTTAGTTACTGAAAGCTTTGGGGTGCCACCTCCAGCCATGAGGCAGTAACCAGCACTGGACTCCTGCTGGGAATAATTAGGAAACTGGAAATAATGGAAGAAACAGCTGTGTGCAGACAGTGGACAACAGGTAGTGCAGGACGGGCATCCCTGAGAGGAGGGAAATGAAGTGAGCCTTACTGTCAACCCTGGCCTTCTGCTTAGATGTACACTGCCTGGACTCTGGTCCAAGGAGGAGAAACCCCTAGTGGAGCATGGAGATCTCACTGGGTTGAGGAGGCAGAGGTCAAAGTGTAGGTAGGCTAAGGTGGCTGGAATTTGAGAAGCAGAGGATGAGAGAGGCACTGTTTGGCAGAAGGGTGCAGAAATCTAGATCGACTGCACTTTTTTTTTTTTTTTTAAAGTACATGCAGGGGAGGTGGAGAGGTAGAAAGAGAATTTCAAGTAGGCTCCTTGCCCGGTACGGAGCCCAACATGGGGCTCGATCTTACGACTCTGAGATCATGACCTGAGCCGAAATCAAGAGTCGGACGCTTAACCGACTGAGCCACCCAGGCGCCCCTAGAGGGACTGCATTCTAAGCTGTATGTGTATAGGGTCAAACTCCACACAGCTGGGCAAAGAATTACTACCAAGAAGGTGTGAAGTGAACCATCCCCACAGCTTATAAAGAACTGGAAGAGGCTCAGCTCCACTCAGGCAGAGTGGCGAGTCCTTGTTGAACCACCAGGCAGGGACACCTGAGTATCTTAATGTTTAGGGTTAACTCTAGATTTGCCCTAATAAAGCTTAAAAACAATTCTCAAAATGATCGAGTTGACCAACAAACACATTAACTGCCTACTAAAACAGATATACTTTTCTTCAAAGTATATATTATTCTTTAAAGAAAGACAACAAAATCCAGACACTCAACATAGTAATGTTCACAATGACCAGCATCCAATCAAAAACTACTAATCATGTAAAGAAGCAGAAAAAATAGAACTTGTAACCAGAAGAAAAATCAGTCGGTGGAGACACAGGAAACAGAGAGATGATAGAATTAGCAGAAAAGGACTTTAGCAAAACATGATCAAAAGAAGGAGATGAATGGAAGACACAGAACTGAATGGAGCTTCTAGGGCTGAAAAATACAGTCTCTGAAAGAACAAATTCACTGAGTGGTCTTAATGGCAGACTAGACTGTGTAGAAGAAAAGAGCATTTACACGGCAGTAGAAACTATCCACATTGGAGCACAGAGTTTACAGTGACCTGGAAAAATCTTACTTAACCTCCCTGTGCTTTAGTCTCCTCAACTGTAGAATGGGACAATAGTACCAACTCATGGGGTTATTGTGATGATGAAATGCTTTAACATAATATAAACTGGTAGGACAGTATATCAGGTGCCTGGTATATAATAAACACCTAACAGGTATTAGCTAGTGTTGCTGTTGTTATATTGGAGGTTAGCCCAGAGAGCCTTGGGAGCACAGGGAAGGAACGTCAGAGTCAGAGAGGGAGTGGGTGGGAAGGGAAGACCTTCCAGAGGAGGAGATGCTTCAGCAGAGTTGTGAGGGACAAGCAGGGCTGGCGGACAGCCACGGGAGTGAGGTCCTCCAGGCAGATGCAGTGTCCAGCAAGGCACGGAGATGAGATGGTATGGGGCCACCGCCTCCCAGGAAGGCTGCAGCCAACAAGGCCTTAGCTGCGGCCCAGGAAAGGCTCCGCGGGCCGTGGAGTCTCTCCGGCTCCAAACACATCTTACCTCCTCCATCATCCGATCTGTCCAAGCTCTGCTGCCTGAGGCGGTGACTGCCCCCAAAAAGAAGGAAAGGAAAGAAAATGAATTTCACATGTAGGAAGAAACCACCCCAATTATTACTGTATCTATTGTTTCTCCTAGATGGTCTCTGGACCCATTTTCCTCCATCAACTTGGTCAAACCCTAATTAGGCACTTGGGTCTGCCACATACGGTCGGTCGCACAAGGCGTGCGGTGCACCATTCTACAGACTACGATACGAATGCTCCTCTCACCCCCGGGCGGTGGGGTGAAATTCACTGGCCCTGCCTTTACGTTCTGTCTTTACCTAGACACCTTTTATTTTCCTTTCTGATATAAATCTTAGAAGAAGGTTAGGTTTAGAAGGCTGGTATTGTTTCTGCCCATCTGAATCAATAAAGAAGAATCCAGGGGTCAGCACTCTGATACCTGGACATACGGTTCTAAAAACCACAGGGTGGGAGAAGGACATGGATATTAACGCCAAGGTCCAGACCTTCGGCTAAGGAAACAGCATAACCGAACCCTGGATTCAGTGTGCATCACTAAAGGCCCAGACAAAAAGCCAGACTCATTCTGCTTTCAAATGCTGAGTCCAACAAAGGCTGAACAGATAATGACCACCAAAACTGCACTGCTAGCAAAGGTCACCAAAGGACGAATAAGAAAGCTGGAAACATACTCTTCTATTTCTTCAGAAGCCCTCCTTCCTGACCTGAAAAAAAGAAAAACAAGGTTTATAAGAACCTGTTAGTCTCGTGCATGGGGGTGTACGTTGGAGAGGGGATTTCAAAAGTGAGGGCAAATTAGCATATTCCAAGTGCTTTACTGACCTGGATTTCTCTTTCTAGAGCAAGGCGTATAACCAGCATGAGAGAATTACAGGCATCAGAATGCCTACTTATAGTCTTATTTCACTATAACTCCAACTTAAATCATTGAGTTTAAGCGCAGATGGGGAAGTTCAGAACTCAAATGGATATAGATGATACAGTTCCCTCCTTTCAACAACTAACGGACCAATTTATAGAGCACTTTCTTAGGACCGAGGCCTTGGATCTTACTTGGAGCTTTAGTTGTTAGCATGTGCAGCTTCCCAGTAGTAAAAAGAGATGGACTGACCATGCAGTTCAAGCTGTAGGCTCTGGGCCTTTCTGCAGCCTCCGCTTGAAGGACCAGAAGACCCAATGAGTGATGTTGGGCAGGTGGTGCCCTTCAGACATTCCATGAGAACAGGAAGCCTAATTATATACAGACATTTATCTAAGGCTGTGGTTCTCAATCTTCAATGTGCGTTAAGAACCATCTGAGAAGCTTGGTAGACATGTTAGATTGCCGGACCTGGCAGAGACAGCTTTCTGGATCAGCTGGTCTGGGGGAAAGTGAGTCTGGGATTGCGTATTTTAAACAAATCCCTAGGCAATCCTACTGTAAGGTGGTCACTGCTGACCCTCTGAGAAACATGGATCTAAAGTCTTCTAAATGAGACTGACCAAACATTGACAGTTATTAAAGTTGGGTGTTGGGTACATGTTGACTACTTTTCTGTACGTCTGAGAATTTCCACAATAGATTTTGTTGGTTGGTTGGTTGGTTTTTTAATGAATTCTTTCCAGGCAGAAGTCAATCACCACGAAGAGCACGGGCCAAGGGTGGAGGCAGTGTCGTAACGGCCAGGAGCTGGGATGCATGAGAAGGCCTTCGACAGTGCAGGGCCCGCTAGCCTCGTCAGTCAGCAGAGCGACATTGGAACCAACCAGCAATTCCTGCAAAATGCAAACACCCCCTCCCCCTCTCCGAGTATAATCTGAAATTAAGCCCAAGTTTAAGTAAACTAGGGTCCATGAAATTCAGACCACACCAACTGCACTGTTAAGGGGGGGGGGGCAGAATTTTGGCTTCTGTTGGGAGGGAGAAGAGAATGGGTAGCTAAAGCTGGAAGAACAGGACGGAACAACTCTGAGGAGGATCTCCCAGGCTGCAGTTTTTGCCTCTTCCCAGGACAGAAAAGAGACGAAGCGAGTCGGGGGAGGAGGACAAGCGGGACAGACAGACAGACAGGAGGAGGCACCGTCGGTAACCTGCAGCGGGGTGCCCCAGGCGTCACCACGGGGCTGTTGCTGGATGATACTGGTTCCCAGCACTGAGATTCTAAGTCAAGAAAACCTAACAGCCGCCAAAGCCACCTCTGCCTGCGTGGGAAGGCAGAAAGCTCTGCTCCCAGCTCACGTCTGCCCTCCAGGACCACTGCCTTTAATTGTCCCGGTGAAGTTGAACTCTACAAACCCACCACCCAAATGCCTTGGTAATGTGTCACCAGTGGCAGGAGGGCTTGGATGAATACAGGGTCCGAGAAGAACAAGGTGATTAAGGCACCTGCATTTTGTATGTAAGAGACATAGCATCCCTGATCACCCTTATGAGTTGTGACTCCATCATTCCTTCCTAAGCGACGGGCCATGGCCAGAGTAGCAGTGATTTCGTCTGAAGGAAACAATGGTAATGCTAATCTTCGGGGGAAGGCTGATTAACTGCCATCGACATCTAAAACGGGGATGAGTTTCACATTCAGCATAATTGCTGCAGAGCTCCTGTTCTCCTCTCTCTCGCTCCAGGGGGAGCCCCAGTACCCTCCCAAATTTCATTTCACCGCACGACAAGGAGCAAGATCAAAATGGAGCCCTCAAGGTCAGAGGTGGGGATGCCTTCAGGTGGCATGTTCCCCCGTTCTCTCCCATTTTCTCTCACTCTCTCTGCCAGAAATAGCAGATTCTGGGCAAGCCTCCTGCCCAGGAGATGGAAAGTCCAGTGGGAACTTGGGCAAGGCCCTGGAGAACTGGCCATGGAACGCCCTGTCTTTGATAAAGCTGAGCATTTTCCGGCCTTGTCTAGCGAGCATATCCATTTGTTGCCACACTGCTGGGTTTTTTTGTTTTGATTTGTTTTGGTTTTAACATGAATTTGCTGCCCAAATTGGGAGATTCTGTACAAAAATCTGGACTTCTGGATTCTTCAAACACAGAGCCCGTAAACTGGACCTGCATTCCCACATGGAAAACTCTGGGGAAGTGGAGCGTGGCTGGGATGAGCCTGAGCTCCCAGCCCTTCCCGACACTGGGGGGCCCGTAGAAGCCCTTTATTCTTCACTCTGCACTGCTGGCTCTCTTACAGTGGAAATTAAGAGGCAAGTGAAGTATTGCCTGTAGCTTTGCAGCTACCAAAAGCAAGGGAAGCAAAAGGAAGGCTAAGTGGGAAGCAGGTTTTAGGAGAATTGGCAGAGTACATGTCTTTAGAGAAATGCGAATATGCAACTAACTAATCTGTATGTGCATCTCAGTAACATGATTGAAGGTGTTATTCTGAAATAAAACCCCACTTCAGATGTCTTGTACCTGCCTGGTCTCCACGGGTACCTCAAGTCACACAATGTCAGAGCCCAGCACAAGGACACAGAATCGAGCACAATGATTTTCAAACTAAGGTCATGACCCATGGTGTGTCATGGAATCAATTTAGTGGATCACCACCAGCCTTTCTTGTCTTTTCCTTTTTCTTTATCTTCAGTGAGAGAGCGAGAGAGTGGGGGAGGGGTCGAGGGAGAGAGAGAGAGAATCTCAAGCAGATTCCCCGCTGAGCGTGGAGCCCAACATGGGGCTCAATCTCGACCCTGAGATCACGAGCCAAACCAAAATCAAGAGTCAGATGTTTGATCGATTGAACCACCCAGGCGCCCCTCTTTTTATTTTTAATAGCATAAAGTAGAATAGAGAGCATCCTGCAAATAGTAAAGGTAAGTATTACATAAACTTTCCCCCCATTTTATATACAGACATATCCAGTCATGATACAGAGTATATTTTTAAATTGTTGGTGACAGGTTAAAAACAAAGCAGAAACAAAATACAGCGGTCTATGGTAGCTCAAGAGGGTAGGTAACTAAAGAAGGATTTGGGCTGAAGTCCTGCCCCCCACAGACCGTGAGGTAGAGGATTGTGGGTTCTGGCCCAACTCCTCCGCACAGACATACGTCTGAGGAAACGCCGTGACCTGGTCCAGGCCCAGGGCAGGCTGTCTACAGGGCTGCGGTCAGCTCTGCCCTGGGCTTCTGGTCTCCTACTACACCCCCCGCCCACGTGCCTTCTTCCTCAGAAGTGGCTACTGGGGGGAGGGGGGCTGGGAACCTGACAATCGTAACAACATGGGGGACGCCACCTTAAGCAGGTGGAGCACTCTGCAGGTTTCTTCCCCCTCCTGTCTGGCAACACTGCCACGAGCTCAGCCTAGCTTTGGAAAAGAGGCAACGCAGGTTTCAGAGACACGATGTGACAGACAGAGCCATGGGGCACTTCGATGTGTGCTTCATCCAAATCACTGAGCTATGAGTAACGAGGCTGCAGCAAGAAGCCCCATCTCCCGACTTCCACCCCGGATTCCACACACACTGCCCCAAGCCTTTTCAAAAGCAGCTACCCGATGATTTTCAGACGTCCCCAGGGCACCCAGACATCTGTTTGGATTTACTGTGTAGACGGCCCATTCCTGACTTCCCACACTTACGGAAGGCAATAGAACGTACAGAGAACTGCCGTAGAGAATCCTTTAAACCAATAGTTCTTAACCACTGGTACACAACAGCATCATTGAGTTTTTTTCAGTGTCTCTGTGCTGGGCCTCACCCCAGGCCCTCTGAGGTAGTAATCTCCAGAAATGGGACCCAGTCACATATGAGAATCAATGCCTTACACCTCACTGTAGAGAGTAAGCTGAACTATGGGTACTAAGCAGCAAAATGGAAACCTTGCTGCCCTATCCTGCCGAGTTGCCCACTTCTTTCTAACCAAAATGTTAATGAACTCTGACTTGACCTAAAGGCTGAGGGAAGGGAAGAAAAGGCTTCACAGACTGTAGCCTCCATTCCTGAGTAATCCTGAGTTGGCTTCCCCGAAATTCAGACAAGTTTCCATGGTGTTCGTAAAACTGAAGCAGGTGCTCTTTGGGCTGGCAGATCCAGAAGCGGTTCAGATCCAATTAGAGACGCTTGTTCAACATTCAAAATGTAAAACATAGAGGTTGCTGAACCAGCACTTGGAAAAGTTAATTAAATGCCAGGTTTCTTTTTAAGAGCTACTCCATCACTTGCTGATTGCTTTGGCCATTTTGCAGAATGAAGCTTTAGCTCTGGACAGTGACAGGAATGTTCTCCTTCACCTCCCACCTTGGGGGGCTAGGGTAACAGGAGTAAGGACACTCGGGCTTCCCGCTTTCCAGTGAGTGACACACAGACCAGGTTGGTGACTTGGCACGGGCGTTGTCTTGCTCTCCCTACCCCCATGTAAAGCCTTGTTCAGCCCAACCCTCAACCAGTCTCTCCCAGTTTTCACCCCGCTTCTCTCCGACCCATGCTAGGTTTCTTCCCCTTAGCTTCCCACAGCCACCTTCGCTCCTCAGGGGAAGGCCCATTCCCAGGCCCCGCCCCACAAGCCTGTCGCAGGAAGGCTGATGACTGAGGATATCAGCAGTTAACATGTAGGGTGCCTGGGTGGCTCAGTCGTTGGGCATCTGCCTTCGGCTCAGGTCATGATTCCAGGGACCTGGGACCGAGCCCCGCACTGGGCTCCCTGCTCAGAGGGGAGCCGGCTTCTCCCTCTCCCACTCCCCCTGCTTGTGTTCCCTCTCTCGCTGTCTCTCTCTCTCTGTAAAATAAATAAATAAAAT